TCGGCAATGGTTGTGTTAGCATTCAGTGCCGGATCAAATCCTCATCTTTATAGATCATTCCAACTACTAGTCCATTTATGTGAGAAGGCAACACATTTGGGCCCCCTTCTCCTCTAAGAACTACTGACTTGGTACTCTATTTCTCTTTTGAAAGTCCTACAATCTTTAGATCATGCTACACTGCTCTAGAGTGGTATTCACATTTAGCATCAGCTCAGTATGAGGGGGACTCGGGGTTTAGTCGGTTCGGGTTCACTAGCTGTAGCAGACCTAGCCTAATTAGCTTACGATATGGTGAAATGATTCACCGATATGGTGAAATGATTCCTTCTAAGGGGCTCTCTCAGGTGAGGATTGTATTGGAGAACATTCGTTTGGTAATTATATGGAGCTTGGTAATGACGGGCATTTCTGGGAGGTGGAGCTAGATAATATTATGACTGCTTACAAGGTTGTGCGTTCATCACCGCATAGGGAGGCAGTGCCACGGCATAAGCAACATCTTGATGGGGATAATGGTGTTGTGGGACCTTAGGAATCATGTATGATTGGTTGAATAACTTGTGGCGCCCCCTTGAGCTAGAAGCTATCATGGCTCCCTCTTCTCTCCTGTTTATGTCACTTTTTTTTCAATCTTTTTTTTTTCAATACTTTTTTTTTCTTTTTGTTTATTTTTTCACTCAATGTGTTTATGGATATGATCAAATCCGATATGGATTGCCTACGTATCATGACGCCGCATGAATCAGATCATTATATAGTTCAGCGGATCAAGAATAAAGTAAATAAACTAACTTTCTTTTTTCAAATACAAAAAACTCCTAACAATGAAAATAATTTTTTTTTGGTAGAAAGAAAGATTTCTAAAGAAGGAAGAATTTATGGATTTTTTTTTATTTCTAATTTATTTTGATTTTTTTTTTGGAATTATTGATAGAAAGAGTTCTACACGAAAAAGTTTTTTTTGAATTTTGATTTTTTTCTTTTTTTTTAAAAAAAATTATTTATTTATTTATTGCCATTATTGAAAGAAAGAACAAATTAAAAGAAAAAAAATATTTTGGCTTTTTGAATTTTTATTTTTTTGAATTTCCGAAAGAAAAACTTCTAAAAAAATATTTTTGGAATTTAACTTTGTTTTGAGAGTTTTCAAAACAAAAAGTTGGCTTTTTCGTTTTGTTTTTTAAAAAAAATCGAAAGAAAGAAAATAATTTTTTTTAGATTTTGCTTCTTTTTTTTTTTTTTTTTTTTTTTTTTTTTGAATTTTCACAAAGAGAGACTTCTAAAGAATAAAGTTTTTTTTTTTTAATTTTCTAATGAAAGAATTTTAAGAAGAAATTAAGGAAAGAGAAAATATTTTTTTGGATTTTTTTTCTATTTTCTTTTTGAAAATTGGGGGCCGGAACCGATGAGGTTTGCCTACGTATCTCACATCCGATGAGAATCAGACCCGCGTGGTTCGGTAAAACTGGGTACTTTTCTCTTTTGATTCTTAAGAAAATTAATCTTTACACCTCACACCAGACTATTACAAAATCTCTCTCTTTTTTTAAAGGGTTTATGTGCGCTAAATTAGGAGAATGACTCTTTTTTTTCTTTTTTTAATAATTCCGCTACACTAATTTTCTAAAGCCGATCGACAATGCAAGTAAGCCTTCCAAATGATGTATCCAGTAGCACATAAGTGGTCATGCTGATCTCAAAGAGGATACCTGTCTTATACGGAACCGGCCTCTGTGCCGAGTTTTGCTAAGTCAAATGCATGTGATGCACATAAAACAAACCCGCTAGGGATATCCGGCATGAGGTTTGTTCTTTTAGGTATAATTCCTGGTGGAAAAGGTATCTAGACTGGCTTACTCGAGCGGACAACTCGAGCTGAGGAGGGTCAGTGTACCAGTAGCATTGCTTTCCGGCTTAACTGGAGGTACTACCCGCCTAAAAGTATATGTGATTAAAATCCATTACCGGGTGACAAGCACATCGGCTATCTCAAAGAAAGCAGGCTATGTCAAGCAAATGTCTAATTTTTAATTTCAAGAAGATAAGAGGGGGTGCGTGAGAAGACAATTTATATGTACAGTTCAACAATATCGAAGTAGTAAAAAGCGAATAGGTAGCACATTAATCACACCGTTTTGTACCCCTCCAAAGGATAATGAACGTTATGGATTGTGGGTTAAAGAGTTTTTCCAATTAAAGTAACAAATAAGTATGGATTATTTTATTTACAGAGTCGCCACTTGGAATTGATTTTTAGGTGTTCCAAGTCACATTTTATTTGAATTCCTAGTCAAAGGAAGATTTGACTTTATTTTTTAGCAAACTGCGAAAATAAAGTTCGGGTAAGGAATTTTGTTGACAGGGAGAAGGTGACATGCATTCCCGAAATACCGTGGTTCTAGCACGGTCGCTTTATTGGTTATATTTGGCTTAAATTAATTTTGGATAAAATTATAATATATTTGATTTTTATGCTTTTCATATGGCCGCTTTTATTTATTAAAAAAAAAAGAAAAGATTTGAATAATATTGAATTGTCCTAACCGCAGCACGCTAGCGAATGCATGATCGAAACAAAATTTACTAATTTTGTAATAACCACCCTACGCAAGTGAATCCGCAGTTGTGACAATAAATTATTAGCACGTTATTACTCTTGGAAAAATATCTACATTTTATATTGCTTTATTATGGACAATAGGCCAGCCAAAATAAATTCATTTAGCCAAAGCCTGTTTCTCGTAATCCCGTTTAAGAACTAACGTGGGAGATAGGCTAAAATATGAGCAAATAATTAACTAAAGGTATAATATTAAATACTAATAGAATAAGCTAGGATAAAAAATTATTTAAAATTCCTACGGCCCACTAATGTTACAATTAGCCTAAACCCACAATCTTTTACTTTCTGTCAAGAAAACACATAGCCCATTATTCAATTAGCTATTGCCTTCCCCAATATTCTTAACAGAATTAATTCACAAAGAGATCATATAATCATGATATTAACAGAAGAAAAGTAAAACACATAGACAAACATTCATGAATGATAAATAAATTAATAGAACGACCAAGGAACTTCAATAAAAGTGGTAAGTGTGAACCTTTACATTCAGCGAATAAGCCTCTTCAATAGATCCAAACATGAAGCTCCAACATCATCAAAGATATACGAAAACCCGAAGCTACAACCCGGATGAAGAACCCGAACAGGACCTGCGACAGGAGACTGCATCGGAACCTCGAAACTCAGCAGTAGAGAAACACAACAAAAAGATGAGCGATTTGTGATGTTGATTGGGGACTATTTTGCTGAAGCTTTTGGGGGCTGATTTATGGTGGTGTTTGGAGGAGGCTTCAAGGTGTTTAAAGGTGTTTGAGATGGTAGGGAAGATGGCTGGTTTTTAGGCGTTTTGCAGCTAATTTCTGGCTGGATTTAGGGGGGACGTTTTGAGATGGAAAAGAGCTGATATCTGTGAAGAAGAAGTCCTCCTTGTTCCGTCCTGTTAAGCTCTCTCCTCTTATGAAATTTTTAGAGGTGCTTTTTATGGTAGAAAAATGGATCTTTTTCAATGGTCAAAACAAAAAGAAAAGATGGGATCCCTTTTTTGAGTCCTATTTGTGAGGGTCCGTTCTCCTCCTTTTTTCAAGTGGAGACATCTCTTTTTCTTAACTCATTTACTTTTCTAATCTCCATCCCCTCTTTCACACCCCTTTCCCAGTTCATGTTTTCTGCTTTTTCCTCCCCTTTGAAATCTTTGGTCAAGAAAGAAAAATGAAAATATGTGGACCCCTGCTATGATTGCGTATGAGTCTTGGGCCCAAAGAACGTAGGTCAGAGTGAAAATATTTTTTCCTTTTTATGTAATTGGCATGTGCAAATGGGGTATTACCTTTTCTTTCTTTTATAAGAATAAACAATATAACTCTAAAAATACAATTCTTTTTGTGTGATTTTTAATTTTATCAAATAAACCTACTAAAAAGTAAAATAAAGACTAAAATATATAAATTAGACTTTAAAATATTTATACTAAAAAAAAGTATGAAAATTCAAATATAGTAAAAAATTAGGTGCTCGCAACGCTCATACCAAATGCTAAGAAAAAAAAATTGTCCCACATACCTTGTTGAAGAACTAGCTACACTTCTATGGTGGTTAAATTCGCTTCCAACGAATCTTCAGAATCAATATAACAAGATGATAGACGTTACAATGATGATTAAAGCTTCCTCACGCTAATCTTGCTAGATTAACCTTTCATTTAGCCTTAGATCGTTTGGGAAATTCTAAAGGGGGTTTAAGAGTATTGGGGATAAACTAAAATGGGTGATATCTTCTAGAATGAGTGAGGAAGAACTATGTTGCCTTTTATACTATACTAAGTTCTATGAAATTTTGCCGCTCCACATGCAAAATGGGTCACCCTGTATCGACTGTTGCGCCCGGTGAGACAGCTCGCTAAATCCGGTCGCATGTGGTTGCCTCTTCTACCCGATAACGTGCCGCCATCGATCTAGTTGGTTGTACCTAAACCTCATAAATATTATTGATCTTCACACGTGGGGTGTAAGAAATTCCGTCTGGTATAACTGTGATTTATTCATCTAATAGCTTATAATATAGGATCCTACTCTTGTTGTTGTTATTGATTTTACTCTTGCTTGTGTACATAATGAAAAGAATAAGTTTGTCAATCTTCATCCTAGCTTGGACTTCATTGCGTGCAACGTTTTTGCTTGTTGATGAGTATCAGACAGATCAAAATAATTTTCACAAATAATATTTAGAATCGATCAGCTCATTATTAAAAATAACAAACTATAAATCAATTATTACAGTGATTTCTTGTAAACTGTCAGAATTCAGAATTGTATACAAAATAATCTACATAACGAGAAATTGTTAAAACCCTTCAGCAGGTTGATCAGTTCCAGAAAGGAATTTATTGAATTATTTGATCAACAGAATGGTTAGTTGTCGTGGATAAGATAATAACCAGTCAAGAATGTAGTAAGTATTAATTATAGGCACCATTACAAAATTGCAATATTTCTTCATGCCCTCTATGATAACGCTCTCAATCTACTAATATAGAAATCCAACACCGCCATGTCTTGAGCTTTTCAACGTCATCATTTTGGAATGCCAATCCTCAGATCGAGCCCAAGGTCCATTCCGTTGTACGCAATGGGAGCATACATCCATTGGTCATCAGAGCTCAAAAGCTGCAGATCCCAAACAAAAAGCACGAATTAAGATCCATCTATTGATCTCAATGTGAGAAGCAATTAATCTTGGTAACATTAGTGGAATAGCCAGTTATGCCATTATTTAACAGCGAATTTAACTTCTGCTCCAATTTGGTAATCTAAACAATAAAGTAAATAACATCATATAACCAGTTGCTCAACCGCGTTGGCCCAAGGGTGGCCAATTGAATCCCGTATGTTTTTCATATATATATATATATATATGCGCGCATGGAAGTTAACTTCATTAAATATGAAAAGCTTCTAGCATCACTCTTAACGGTGACATTTTAGCATTATTTGAATCCTCTTATGCGTGTGTATGCATATAAGCTAAATAATCAACTATTCTATACATTGGTTTCTTCCCACCCTCACTAAGTTATTTCTTTAATACCACCCATGTCCGCATAAAATGATTAGACTTTCAAGCTATACTTGTTTTTTCTCTCTTTCTTTGGCTATCTCTGCACGAATACGCTAGTGTATGTTCATGCTAGATCAGTATCTTCATCTTGCTTAATTCCTAATGCATTATAATAATTTGTGAAGTGAAAATAAATCTTACCTTGATTTGGAGCTGCAAAAATTTGACATACTGGACAGCCTCTTCAAGCATGGTACTAATGTCAACCTGTCATCAATTTTTTTTGCTTTTTTAGGTGTCCATTGTATTATCTCAGCAGATAGCGTGATCACTAATACAGTTTCACTGACATTCACTTACCTTAGTTCCGTTTGGGATGAGACTCTGCAATGTCTTCAATTTCTCATTAATTCTCTCTCTTCTTTTCTGTAAGAAGGGAAAGAAAGATTCTTAATTAAACATATAAGTATATGCTAATTGCTAGCAGATCTAGAAATGACACAACTGACTACACACCTATCTAATACAAATACTCCCAACAATTAACTCTGGAACGGAGTCTGAAAAAAGAAAGACTTTATAATTTACACCCTTAGAACTTGTTGTTAAGTTTGGCAGAAATCTTTTGTCCCACATCGGTGGGAAAAGAATGGTTGGGGGGATTTTTCCCCTATAAAGAAGGCTTAATGTTTAGGATTTAAACACACCTCTCATTTGCCTTCTCATCTGTTTAAGGCATTTGTATTTCTCTCTTTAGTATTATTTCACTTGTATTTTTGGAGTGAAATAAAATATTGGTTGTGTCCGAGGAGTAGGCAAAATTAGCCGAACCTCGTAAATTCTGGTGTTCCCTTTATTGTTGCTTTATTGTCTTATTTATTATTTGGTGGCTGTCATAATTTTTGGTATAGTAGTTGTGACTTATTCACACTATATACATTTGGCTTCCGCAACAATTGGTATCAGAGCCAAGGTACTGTCTAAGTATGCTCTGTGGTTGCAGCATAGTCTGATCTTCCACATCAGAAAAGATTTATCTTGGTAACTGAGTCAAGGTTCTGTCTGAGTATGCTCTGTGGTTGCAGCTTAGTCTGATCTTCCACACCAGAAAGGAAATAATCTTGATTTGTGTCGTCAGCTATTAAATAATATTTGTGTCAAAGATGGGAGACAATAAACAAGAAGAATCTACATCAAGTGTCAACAATACGTCATCATTGGCATCTTCGCTTATGACAAGAATTGTGTCAAATGCGAAATTTGCGGTAGAAATATTTGACGGGTCCGGACATTTTGGGATGTGGCAAGGCGAGGTTCTAGATGTCCTTTTTCAACAAGGGCTAGATCTGGCCATTGAAGAAAAGAAACCAGATGTTATTGGAGAAGAAGATTGGAGAATTATCAACCGTGTTGCTTGCGGTACCATTCGATCCTACCTTGCTAGAGAGCAGAAATATCCATACACAAAGGAAACTTCTGCAAGTAAATTATGGAAAGCACTGGAGGATAAATTTTTGAAGAAAAACAGTCAAAATAAATTGTACATGAAGAAGAGACTGTTTCACTTCACCTATGTTCCTGGTACCACGATGAATGAACATATCACCAGTTTCAATAAGTTGGTCACAGATTTGCAAAATATGGATACAACTTATGATGATGGTGACTTGGCCTTGATGTTGTTGGCGTCACTTCCTGATGAGTACGAGCACCTTGAAACTACTCTACTCCATGGAAATGACGAAGTTTCTCTCAGAGAAGTTTGTTCGGCTTTGTACAGCTATGAACAAAGAAAGCGAGAAAAACAGAAGGGCGGAGAAGGAGAAGCACTATTTGTGAGGGGTCGTCCTCAAAATCAAACGAGGACAAAGAAGGGAAGATCCAAGTCAAGATCCAGACCCAGCAAAGATGAATGTGCCTTTTGTCGAGAAAAAGGGCACTGGAAGAAAGACTGTCCGAAGTTGAAGAATAAGGCCAAACATAACAATGGAAAGGCCATTATGGATTCAAATGTAGCTGATTGTGATGATTCAGACTTCTCATTAGTTACAACAGAGTCATCAACATCATCAGACATATGGTTGATGGACTCGGCTTGTAGCTATCATATGTGTCCCAACAGGGACTGGTTCGTGGAATTTCAAGAAGGAGAATATGGAGTCATCCACACAGCGGATAACAGCCCTCTTACCTCATATGGCATTGGTTCAATACGATTAAGGAACCATGATGGAATGATCAGAACATTGATAGATGTTCGATATGTACCGGATTTGAAGAAGAATCTCATCTCTGTGGGAGCCCTAGAATCAAAAGGGTTCAAAATCATTGCAGAAAATGGAGTGATGAGAGTATGCTCCGGTGCACTAGTGGTAATGAAGGCTAATCGGAAGAATAATAATATGTACCGCTATCGTGGCAGTACAGTTATTGGGACAGCGACAGTGACATCCAGTGACGACAAAGAGGCAGAAGCAACCAAGCTATGGCACATGCGCTTGGGACATGCTGGAGGAAAATCCTTGAAAACTCTATCAGATCAAGGATTGTTAAAAGGAGTAAAGGCTTGCAACTTGGAGTTTTGTGAGCATTGTGTCAAAGGGAAACAGACAAGGGTTAAATTTGGTACAGCGATCCATAATACTAAAGGCATTTTGGATTATGTACACTCTGATGTTTGGGGTCCTTCCAAAACACCTTCATTGGGTGGGAAGCACTATTTTGTAACCTTTGTTGATGATTTTTCTCGAAGAGTGTGGGTGTATACAATGAAAAACAAAGATGAAGTGCTGGGAATTTTTCTCAAATGGAAGACGATGGTGGAGAATCAAACAGGCAGGAGGATCAAGTGTATTCGCACAGACAATGGAGGTGAATACAAAAATGATCATTTCAATAAGGTCTGTGAAAATGATGGCATCGTCCGACACTTCACTGTTAGACATACACCACAACAGAATGGAGTGGCAGAACGTATGAACCGGACCTTGCTGGAGAAGGTACGGTGTATGTTGTCCAATGCTGGCTTGGGCAAAGAATTTTGGGCTGAGGCAATTACATATGCATGCCACCTCATTAATCGTCTACCATCTGCTGCTATTGATGGCAAAACACCATTTGAAAAATGGTACGGAAAACCTGCTGTAGATTATAACTCTTTGCACGTGTTTGGCTCAACTGCATATTATCATGTGACGGAGTCAAAATTGGATCCAAGGGCAAAGAAGGCTATTTTTATGGGAATTACTTCTGGAGTCAAAGGATATCGCTTATGGTGTCCTATGACAAAGAAAGTAATATTCAGCAGAGATGTTACCTTTGATGAATTTGCTATGGTAAATAAGGTAACAGAAGATACCAAACAAAATGAAGGTGCTTCTAAGCAGGTGGAGTTTGAGGGAAAATTTATTTTTCCTACACAAGAAGCAGAGGAGGAAACAAATGAAGATTACCCTCTGGAAGGAGAGCCAGTAGAGGAGATTCCAACTCAGGAATCTCAACAACAACTTGAATCAATAGCAACCAGCAGGCCAAAAAGAACAATAACGAAACCTGTTCGTCTCATAGAGACGGTTGCTTGTGCAACCTCAATTGTAGCTGATGATGTTCCTACTACTTATAAAGACGCTGTCCAAAGTTCAGAAGAAGATAAGTGGAGGATTGCCATGAATGATGAAATACAGTCCCTTCATCAGAATCATACATGGAGATTGGCCAATCTCCCGAAGGGAAAGAAAGCAATTGGGTGCAAATGGGTATTTGCAAAGAAGGAAGGATTTCCTAACCAAGTAGATGTTCGCTACAAAGCAAGATTGGTGGCCAAAGGATATGCTCAAAAGGAGGGAATTGATTACAATGAAGTGTTTTCTCCAGTTGTAAAACATTCCTCCATTAGAATTATGTTGGCTTTGGTAGCACAATTGGATTTGGAACTAGTTCAGATGGATGTAAAAACTGCGTTTTTACATGGAAACTTGGAGGAGGAAATCTACATGACTCAGCCAGAAGGATTCAAAGTTGCTGGAAAAGAAAATATGGTGTGCAAACTTGAAAAATCGTTGTACGGATTGAAACAATCTTCTAGACAATGGTACAAGCGATTTGACGAGTTTATGTTGCGGCAAGGGTACAAGAGAAGCAAATACGATCATTGTGTGTATTTGCACAAGCTTAAAGATGGTTCCTTTGTATATCTTCTCCTATATGTTGATGATATGTTGATAGCTTCCAAGAATTCGGAAGAAATTGATAAGTTGAAGATTCAACTGAAGAAGGAGTTCGAGATGAAGGATTTGGGTGAGGCAAAGAAAATTCTTGGCATGGAGATAATTAGAGATAGACGTTCAAAGAAACTCTGTTTATCTCAAAAGGAATATTTGAAGAGAGTACTTCAACGTTTTGGCATAGATGACAAGACTAAGCCAGTTAGTACTCCACTTGCTTCCCATTTTAAGCTAAGTACTACTATGTCGCCAATGGATGAAGCTGAACGAGAGTATATGTCAAAGGTACCATACGCAAATGTTGTTGGTAGCTTGATGTATGCAATGGTTTGCACAAGGCCTGACATTTCACAAGCTGTTGGAGTTATTAGCAGATATATGCACAATCCAGGGAAGGAGCATTGGCAAGCTGTGAAGTGGATTCTACGGTATATTCATAATACTGTAGATGTCGGGTTAGTTTTTGAGCAGGAAGACAATCAGTCTGTAGTTGGATATTGTGACTCAGATTTTGCGGGTGATATGGACAAACGAAGATCAACTACTGGTTATGTGTTTACTTTTGCAAAGGCACCAGTTAGTTGGAAGTCTACTTTGCAGTCAACAGTTGCTTTGTCTACAACAGAGGCAGAGTACATGGCTATTACAGATGCTGTGAAAGAGGCAATTTGGCTTCAAGGATTGCTAAAGGAGCTTGGTGTTGAACAAAAAGGTATCACAATTTTTTGTGATAGTCAAAGTGCTATTCAATTAGCGAAGAACCAAGTTTATAATGCAAGGACGAAGCATATTGATGTTCGGTATCATTTCGTACAAGAATCATAGAAGAAGGAGGAGTCACAGTGAAGAAAATTCATACTACGGAGAATCCTGCTGATATGCTAACTAAGGTGGTGACTGCGATCAAGTTTCAA